AAATAAAGATAACATGAAAATATGTATATAAAATACCAAAAAACATGGTTATTGGTTACTGTAGTTAAACCATGGTAAAAACAACATGTTTTACTACACTAACCATAGTTTAACCATGGTATTTGTAGTAAAACTGTGGTTATAGGCTACAATTGGTAATAAAAACGCCCCAAAAAAACATGGTTAGCCTACTATACATTTACTATAGTAATACCATTGCTAATTTTCATAAGGGATTGTGTATAATAATATGAAATAAATGTTTTAATAGATTATGACATCACAAAATATCAGGGAGTGAGATTTGTTTGATTGCGATGCGAAGGGGGGTTACTGTAAGCCCCATCAGAACTGGGTTGCGGTGCAGGGGGACGGGAGTAATGACAGATCGTTGCAGTGTATCGGTCATATACATCGTCAGATCAGGTTTTTTAACTTATTAGAGGTACAGAACGCCGCTCAGCAACTTTTCGCCATTGCACCAAGCAAAAATCATTCGAAATCATCACACAAAGTAAAGATCAAGTGCCTAACAAGGTCTCCGCGCGTTCATTCGAATGGTTTGTTTTCCCCCTCGGCATAAACGGTTATGACGTTTTTGTGGGCGTTCCCAGCAATGCCGAACAAGTCAATAGGTATGGGTCCTGCTAGGTGGAATTTTACAATGGAGGAAATGTTTGGTGGATCTATGACAATAATACTCCTGCTGCATTTATGATGTTTCCTCAAGGGACTAGAGTGAAAAATGGTTAAATAAACACTATTTTACCTCAGTTCTCTTTGACAGTCCATACTGTCCTCTTCATGCAATCCAGATTTGTATCCACTGTCAGGTTTTCTTTCTTTTTTGGGCTTTTCTGACGACAAGACAGGGCAAAACACACTGTTTGCTAGCCATTATTTGTTTACGCTCATGGCACATTCTGTCTAGTCCCGCTGTATCGATGACAGCACACACGTCGTTAAAGAATGAATGGTCGGGTAGCAACGTGTAGTCGTTTCTTGTTCACGACACAACAAGATTTTAGGAATCAAAATCACATAATCTGACACAGTGACTGTCGTAACCGACAAAAAAATCTTGTAGTCTGAACCGTGCTTTAGATGCATTTAAATAACTGATAAGGTGAATTTTCATTTCGTGCTGACCTTAATGGGATCTGATCACTGAAAACACAAATGAGGCCTGTGATTACAGGCGTTACTCAAGGCTGTTGTGAGTTAAAGAAGGGGGCCGACTTCATACAGACATTATTTTTTGTAATGTGAGTCACAGCTGTTAGTAAATACACTTATCAATCCTAACCGTTGCCATAGATACACAACACAGAACTCCTGTTAGGCCTATAAATAAAGAAATTTGAATATAATAGAAAATCATTTAATTTAGATAAAGTTGTAGTCAAACCCATAGTGCTGATGTGGCTAAAGTGAGTGTGTGCAGTCAGTGGGTGACTAACATGGCTGTTCTGTGTTTGTTAGTCCTGGATACAGCAGGACAGGAAGAGTTTGGAGCCATGAGAGAACAATACATGAGGACAGGGGAGGGCTTCCTTCTCGTCTTCTCTGTCACTGACCGGGGAAGGTGAGCAACGTCCCACTCACGTTTTCTCTCAACTTTCTCTCTTTCTTCCCCTTTCCCCTACATTGTCTGTCTCGGTTTCACTTTCATTCTGTTTCTGTCTCTCCAGTTTTATTAATGTCCCTCCTCCCTGCACTCATTTACATTTTCTGTAACTGTCAAATTAGAAGCGTGCTAATTTACGCCCCAGGTTTTGTCTTGGTGAAACCCAGCACATGCAAATAAACAGATCTCACACACATTGCAGTGTAGGTTCTCGAGGAATGCGGTGTGTGATCGGCCAGTTTGTGCCCTCTTGGGGTCCTTCCCACTTTGTGTTTATGCTGTAAACAGTCTTTCCTTCCTTCATTTACATTACCCTGCTTGGAGCCGATGGCACAGGCCTCTCTGAACACACACTCTCTCTCACAATCTCTCCAGAGTCCATGACAAGCATTTCCTCCTCCTGCATGACATTTAAACGACTCGAACTGTTAGAATCAACAGAGACCTCATATCAGTGTCCTTCCCTCCCCAGCCTACACACGCTGTTCTCCATATGCCGGCTTCTAGCTGTCTTACAGCGTTACTGGAAAGTTTATAGCAGCGGCATGAGAACCGTGTGACCTCATGTCATCCTGTGTACTGTAATGCAGTTCTGTGGCCCAAAACAGAGAGATAGCTGCTCATCAGCTGGAAGGGTGGGCTTGCATTCCTTTTAGGTTTTGTGGAGAGGAGGAGCTCTGCTTTGTGGGTGTATGTGTGTACTTTCATTTCATCATTTCTGAAAATGTCCTCACTAGGGATACATGATATATTGGGACCATATGGGTTATCGGCCAATTATAAAGAGGTTTTTTTTTTATTTCCCCTCAAGTTGACACACCAGGTGTCTTAGCAGAAAAACACAGATGTAGTTCATTTAGAGTATTTTCCACAAAGTTTGACACTGAGAATGTGCCAGTCTTTTTGTCTTAACTTTGGAAAGAGTATTTCATTTTATTTCGTTTCATATTTTGAAACTTAGTTTTGACTCAAATTTCAGTTTCAAAAAATGAACTAATTTTCAGTATTTTGTTATATAATGTAAAGACCATTTTTAAAACCACTACATACTATATACGTTTGGGGTAAGATGTTTTTTTTTTAAATAAATTAATACTTCTATTCAGTAAGAATGCATTATATTTATCAAAAATGATAGTAGAGATTTTTACATTGTTACAAAAATATGTATTTATTTTATATAAATGCTGTTCTTTTGAACTTTTTATTCATCAACGGCTCCTGAAGAAAATGCATAATGGTTTCCACAAAAATATATTTATCACCTGTTTTCATCATTGGTAATCTAGGTCTTTTTAGAGCAGCAAATCAATATATTATAATCACTGTTTTACTGTATTTTTGATCAAAAAAACAGTCTTCTGACTGCCTTTTCTTACTGACCTCAAATTATTGATTTGATTAATTAAATGATGGATGTATTTTTTTTATTATGTTTAAATATTTATTGTTAAATATAATTGTTTTTATTTATTAATTTGTAGGGTTTACCCCAAAATGAAAATTTTATTATCATTTATTATTTTATGACATTTAGAGCTACACGTGTGTGAATAAATGATGACGTTTTCATGTTTGTATTTGTGTCTGTGTGTGTCTGAGAGAGAGAAAATGCTTTGCTAGTTCGTTTGGACCTTTTTAATGGCCATGCATCATCATGTTTTCCTCAGCTTTGAAGAGATCTACAAGTTCCAACGACAGATCTTGAGAGTGAAGGACCGGGATGAATTTCCCATGATTCTAGTGGGTAACAAAGCTGATCTTGAGCAACAGAGACAAGTGAGTGGCATGAATCACTTCAAGTACTGTAATTTCAGAGAGCTACGCTGAATCAGTATTGATATGAACATTTTAACACTCTTTGTCTTCACTGTAACCATAGCATGACTTGGCAGTCTATTGTATCCATTGCAAAGATTCCGCCTATAGTTTCTGTTGTAAAATGACACATGTACACATACTGTACACATATATACAGTACTCAAGAGCACAATGTCACTGTAATTAAATGTGAATGAAATTCAGTCCTGAAAATCAATGAGCTGAAAGGCTGAAACATATCACAGAGAGTGTGTGTGTCTGTGAGGTAAGAGATGGTAATAAAAGTTATGGGGTTACTGAGTGCATAGAAATACACTCTGATTGTGTTACATTGCCACCTAGAGTCAGAACAGAAAACGTCAGCCTGTTGTAAATTAACTTCATCACTTGTCTTTACTTTTATGAAAGGTAACTTATAAGACATATTGTTTTATTTAATATCAAACAAAAAGTAAAAAATTGTGATAGGACAATTTTAATGGATTTTAATTAAGGAGGGTTTTCTTTTTCAGGTGACCCAGGAGGAGGGACAGCAGCTCGCCCGACAACTTAAAGTCACATACATGGAGGCCTCAGCTAAGATCCGTATGAATGTAGACCAGGCTTTCCACGAGCTGGTCCGAGTCATAAGGTGTGTGTGTGTGTGTGTGTGTGTGTGTGTGTGTGTGTGTGTGTGGGTGTGTGTGTGTGTGGGTGTGTGTGTGTGTGGGTGTGTGTGTGTGTGTGTGGGTGTGTGTGTGTGTGTGTGTGTGTGTGGGTGTGTGTGTGTGTGGGTGTGTGTGTGTGTGGGTGTGTGTGTGTGAGTGTGTCATACAGTGCTGTTTTGTGCCACCACATGGTGGCAGCACACAATCAGCAGGATGTGGTTGGAATGGAACACTTGCATACTGCATTAAAAGTTTTACCGTACATTTCTGCCATATGTACATCAATTTGACATCACTGACATCACCACTGACAAGCTCCTACTAAATATATTGTAGAAACATAATTTTCTGTAAAGCTGCTTTGCAACGATTTGTATCGTGAAAAACACTAAACAAAGAAACTTGAATTGAATTGAATTCAAAATATGTATGTACACATGTGTACACATTAAACACTGATAAACACTTCAAACAGTAGTATGCTACAATGTAGAGCCGCACAATTAATATAATTCCTAATCACGATTACGATCACAGATGCCACAATTACATAATCGTTCAAAGCGACAATTAATCGGTCAATGTCCACTTATGTTTTTCTTTCTACGGGTTATCTTAAGGGTTTTTCCATTTGATTTAATTTTAGTTTTAGTATAACATTATAATACCATGCATATGTTTTACTTTTTTTATTTTATTTAAAGAAGAAACAATCCATTGTAAAGTTGACATTAGAGGCTTAATACTATAGAAAAGCGTGTTTTCAGCTTGTTTATATTCGTATATAAATATGGCATGCGGTTGCTTCAAACAGTGGTATAAACATAATTCAATGTAAATTGTGCTAATCGTAATTAATAATCGCAGTTACAATTTCAAGGGAATAATCAACAATTATGATTTCTGTCATAATCGTGCATCTCTACTACAGTGTTGTCACATGACCTCATGATGTTGCATATTTAATATAGCAATTAGTGTCTACTTATCTCAGGATTATTTATTCATTTATTTTAATCCAATTTTATGGGTAAAAATGTCTTGCATTTTGGCAGGCCAATAGTTTTTTATTTGTATTGTATTCAATTGAGATTGACATTTTAATTTATTTGTCATACTAGAAATGGAAAATGAAATCAGGCATATTGCATTGTGAGATACAATATCTGTATCTTTTATGCACAGTATCTGGGTTTTCCATATGAAACTAAATGTTCATACTGAGCATTATATTCTTATGTAAGAGTATGATTAGTATGCTAGTATGCTGTTCTGAACATATGTAGTGAACAGATTGATAATATGTGTGCGGCTTAAATGTTTTCAGTGTTAATTTTAGTATTATTTATGTACTTTTATGGTGTTCGATTAGCTTGATATTTTCTTTATATAGCTTGATATTTTATAGGTATTATTTTTTTTATGTTTTCAATTTTCGTTTTAGTAATTCATTATGTCCTTTTGTCAATTTTATTTGACGTTTAAGGTTTTTTATATTTCTATTTCGCTTTCATTTTAAACTTTTATAATTTCAGTTTTAGTTTTAGTAATTTTAGTACTTTTTAACTTATTAATTTCAGTTAGTTGCCAAAGGAAAATTTTTTTATATTTACATTTTATTTCAGCCTTATTTCAATGCCAGATTATTTCAGTTTCAGTTAACAAACAAACTAAATAAAGTGAAATAAATTCAGTTGGAAGCCAAATGTCTCGTATGACATGTAACGGCAGATCTTAATTTGAGCTCAGAGGTTTGTACACTGAGTGTGACTTGTTTTGATTGATTGTCACATCCTCTCACAGGAAGTTCCAGGAGCAAGAGTGCAAAGGCAGAAAGTTCATGTAGCTAGAAAAACAGAATTGAATTGACCCCTTCATTTACAGAGTAATTGACTCAAATGAAGTATATATTCTGACTGGTCCAGATATATCTGAAATTTTCCACTTCTCATTATTATATATATTGCTAGACCCCCTCCGCGACAACATGCACGGGGTTTGCAGATGTAAACATGGGGGGAGCAGAATGATTAAGTTGCGTAAAGTCATTACTTTGTTGCCACGTCTCAGTCAGTAAGAGAAAACAAACCTACGGTCCGAGAGCAAGTCATAAACATTTGGGCATTTGTTGGACAGCGTTCAATTGTTCCATAGTCTAAAAGTAAGATAATTCTTACTGGTATTTGTGCCGGCAGATCTGGCTATTGTTAGCATGCTGTGGTCCACGGATATTTCTTAGTAGGATGACGCCTAGAAGACGATATTGCACTTGAAGAGCCAGTTTTGTAACTTCGTCGGGACCCCCGATGTATCTGCGTCGTGGCTGATAAGCGATGTCCTGATGAAAAGTGTAGAGCAGGAGGTGGCTCGCAGAATGAATGAATGAGGCATTTATATTTATATTGATCCTCATTTTCCCACTCAACGCTCAACGAGCAGACAGACTTGCCTATCTGTCTGCTCGTTGAGCGTTGAGTGGGAAAATACGTTACCGAGATATCAGGTATGCAGACTGTAATTAATATTGCATATTTATGCCAATAAAACAGCCAAAACAGCTGAGTAAAATAGAATACATCAAAATCGTAAAAATAGTAATATATCCTGGAGCAGCGGCAGCTAACTTGCACCAGCGTTCACTCCTGAAGTCACCTTTTTATAAAATGTCATAGTAGGCCTAATTTAATTTCTTAAGTTTCATGGATAATTTTAGAGATTTAGGTGTGCTACCTATTTTTGCTCTTTATTAGCTTCATGAGTTTTAATAAGTGTAAGATTAAAATGTGAAAATCTCACATTGGCGTACACTGACATGTTCAAGGCTTTCGGGGCCATAAATTATGTTTTGCTTGCTAGTATGTGGGAAAAGGATATTCTCATCCGAGAGCAGTTTATTGGATAAGCCTGTGAGTGCAAATGAGACATGAATATTATTGGTCCAGAAGAATACAATTTTTAACTGCATAAATCTGCTGAAAGACAATTTTGCCCTCTTTTAGATATAGACATCACGGAGCTGGTGGATGTTAGAGACCTTGCGCTCCTCCACCTTCCTTTTGAGGATGCCCATGCTTGGCCAATCCATCACCTTTACCCTCAGCTTCTTTAGCAAGGCAGTGGTCGTCTTGGAGGTGTGTTTGGGGTCATTATCATGTTGGAATGCTGCTCTGCGGCCCATTTTCCGAAGAGAGGGGATCATGCTCTGCTTCAGTATGTCACAGTATATGTTGGCATTCATGGTTCCCTCAATGAACTGTAGCTCCCCAGTGCTGGCAGCACTAATGTAGTCCCAGACCATGACACTCCCACCAGCATGCTTGACTGTAGGCAAGACACACTTGTCTTTGTACTCCTCACCTGGTTGCCGCCACACACGCTTGACAGGGGGCCAAACCGAACCGGTGGATTTGGGCAGACGTACTTTTAAACACATTTTAGTTTTGCTATAGTAAATCTACATGTTCACATTCACATAGAGCAGTGGCAAGTGCCTGAGGTTGTCATGGTAACCACATACATTGCCCACGAATTACAGCTGCGCTTCTATTTTGCCACACTAACCTTAGCAATAAACACGTTTAAAATGCACAATAAACATGTCTGTCAAAACGATCTCAAAGGAGGCTTTTATTAAGCAAATCAAGGAGTGAATTACTCCTCCACTGTTTTTAAAACAGACATTTGTTGGGCTTGATTCAAGTTAATGCACAATTAGGCGCACACTTTTTATTTATTCTTACTGAATAGACGATAAACAGTTTATATTCTAAAATCTATTTAAAGGTTGTGTTCTGTGAAGATTAAATTTGGATGTAAATGGTCGGCATTAAAAGTAGCGTGCGGCTAAACAATATTTCCTGCGTCCTGTGGATCACCTTTATCTGATTGTCCGTGTCCGGAATCATCAAGCACGGCATTAATATCTTCATCCAGATTTCTCTGCAGTTTGTGTATGTTGTTAAAAAGGCAAGCATTACCGTTAAGTCTATTATCCACCAAAATGCAGATTCGTCACGTGACAATTCTTACGCAAGTGAGATTGAGGGAGACGTTAAGTTTGTTTTGATTTATTAATTTACTTACAATAACAATTTAAAATGTATTAACTTTTACGTGTGAACTTTTACATGTATTATTAACTACATTATATGCATTTTTACTTAATAGAAAACTTTATAAATAAATATTTAGTAAAATTCTTAAATCGCTGGCCTGGCCCCCCCACAAGCTACGCCCATGCCCAGATGATGTACTATACATGTATGTTTGTGTATTTATATATACATTATATATATATATATATATATATATATATGTGTGTGTGTGTGTGTGTGTGTGTGTACTGTGTATATTTATTATATAAACAAAAACTTTTATTTTGGATGTGATTAATCGCAATTAATAATTTGACAGCACTTTATATATATATATTGAGACAAAAACAACAAAATTACTAAAACTTTACAATTAAAAGAAAAATATAAAAATAATAACTGATTCAAAATATTAATTAAAAAACCTATAACAGCATCTCAAAATAATATTGCAACATTAGTGCAAACTTGATTTGCAATCGCAGTGCAATGCATGTAAGAGCTTTAGGAAAGGTTTTAGGTTTTTTGCATGGCATGAAAATACTCAAAGAAGCACAAGATCTGAGCACAAGATGAAAAAACATTCATCCCCACATAATTAGTAGAGATGAATCTTAAAAACCAACACAGACGAACACAGACGAACACATCAAACACGTCCAGTGTGCAACTTCAGTCTGAGAAACTACGAGAGAGGAAAAAAAGCATCTTATTCCTAGAAGTGAATGCATCAGGACGGGTGGGGTTTGAAGGAGAGAGACGTCCAGAGAAACGAATGTTTCCATGCTTTCAGGAGAGCTG